GACAGCGAGTTTCTGCCTGTACTACAGGTTCAGTACGGTGGTCATGCGGCCCAATAAGTCCGCAGCCACTGGAAGCAAAGGAGCAAGGCTGCGACTCAACAAAGGAGGAGTATCGCAAAACAGGCAGTGACTGTGGCGGCCACGGAGGTAGAAGTAATGCAGGTGGACTAGGTGGCGAATCAACTCAGCGGAAGAAGGGGCTGGACAGGCAATGCCTGCGGAAAACCCTGATGCCCCCGATGTTAGTTCCTGCGGTCAGAGAGCAGAGCTACCCTCCACTCAGGAACTTCTCGGTGGTCTAGAAGACCCACTGAAGGCAGCGCGAATGGCTGTCAACACGGAAGTCGCCCAGGACCTACATCACGCGGCGGCAGCTTCAGCTGTAATAACGAACAAGTCCACAGCGGAGACACTGGGCATACTGCTGATCCAAGAGCCTTGGGTCTATAGAGGAGAGGCTAAAGGCCTCAAGACGGAGTTAAATAAGGTAATCTGGAATATCTCTAGCTCTCGCTAAAACTTACATATTAGTCAGGAATAACATGAATTCTTCTCCATTTCAGAGTTCCTGACGCAGGATGTGGTGGCGGTGCAAACCAGGGACTTCGAAGGCAAGGACTTCGTCCTGACTTCAGCCTACTTCCCAGAGGAGGCATTCACGACACTCCCGGAGGTGGTGGAGAAGCTGGTGGAGCATTGCAAAATGCACAGGCGTATTCTAATTATGGGCTGCGACGCAAACGCCCACCACTTGGAATGGAGCAGTACAAACTGCAACGTAAGAGGTGATTCTCTTTTAGAGTACATATTATGAAGTAGCTAAGCGATTGAGAATTTAGGGGGTTCACACCCTCATAACTATAATCAGGAGAGAGGTGTTGGACGGAGTACTCTTTGTCAGACCACAGGATTTTAAGATTAAGGCTCAAGGTAGATGTCAGGCAACTCCCCCATAGACGCAACCCTCGGCAGGCGAACTGGGATGGGATGAGATGGGCAATGATCTCGTTTGAGAGATTCAAGTCTTCAGGAGAAGATGGCAGCTTTCCAGCGCTGTTACAGGGGGAGCAGTTTTTACTGCCTTACCTGGTTCGTCTGCTGAGAGAAAGCCTCGCAATGGCGTACATCCATGAAGTATGGAGGACAGCGAAGGTGATCGTTGCGTAATAGAAGATCTATTTGAACGGTGGTATTGCAGTTGTGGTCAGTATTTTATATTATTTGCTTCATTTTATTTGAAAAAACATATTTACTTAAACTTATTGCTTATGTTACTAATCACATATAAGTATACATAGCGCATGGGGAATAATCAATTTTATAAATACGGGTTGTTAATATAGACTTTAAAAGTTATTAGTATATAACTGTCTTGTCATTTTTAACGCTAATACCATATACATATATATATAATTAGAAGTTATATAAACATAACACTTAACTCAGGTATATGTAGGTACAACTTTAAAACAATAACAATATTAAATTTTTTTCAATTACTCTCGGACCCTGTTATTATTCTTAGCTCTTTGTATGTTTCTGTAATACTTTTCCTAATTTTCTTGTTTCACACACCATATCTTCAAGATTAATTATTTCCACAAATTCGAAGGTTTTAATTTTTGCAAGTGCAATTACTTACCGCTAATTTATCCGCATCATTCTTGAGCACACGAAACACCAGATGGTACGATAATCTTGTGCAATTCCGGTCGTATATCGATGTCAACCGTTTATATGTTGCTCAATACTAAACCACGAAACTTTGAAGGCGTCAAATATACTACCTGCTCCATCTCATAGGCGATATAGCAAACTTTCTCTTCCGTTTGAAGGGCAGCGGTTAGACCGTATAACCACCAAGTAGCTGCAACTGTAAATTCATAATTTTATTAAGCTGCTTTTGTTAATTTTTATTATTATACTTATGTATGTGCATATGTATTTATGGCCACTAACTTTGAACAGATATCGGGTGCTATCACCGCCAGCAATGTCCAATCTTTTTTGGTAATCTTACTTCAATATTTTTTTCGTGATTCTTCATTCATTGAATACAAATCTTCCAGCGTAGTCGCGAGGCTTCATTATTCACCATAAGGTCCTAGAAGTTTTGTTGTGCGAAACCAATTATAGAAGAATTTAGTGAACGAAGCATGCCAAAAAAAAATTACAATTTATAGAACGGATAACAAATTAGTCGCTTACTGATCACCGATCAAAATCAATAGGGAATACCCCTCTTGCTCTTGCAAAACCCTTGCTCTTGCAAAACCCTTGCACGGTGCAAGAGTTGCATATATTTCCTCTTGGTGCACCCGCACAACAACAAACACACGCAGAAAACTATTTGCAATGGCTGTAAAATATGTCAGACCAAAACCCATGCATATTCRCGTGCAATCTCACGCAAAAATATAATTGCAACCCTGTTTTAGCTGTCATTTCACATAAAGACATATGACGTCGTTAAATTGTTGAGGAAGGTAAGTTTTAAAAAGATTTTATAATTTCTACTTAAATTATAAAGATTTGTTACATTTTCTTTTATTAAAAATGTATGCAAAAGGTGCGCCAATTCACAATAGCCATGCATAATAGTCATTCACAATAAATTGATCGAATCAGCCGTTCATATATCACTAGATTTTGCAATGGGTGCTCTCGTGMCCTTGTATACTTCGGTATAGTATTGCTGCAATCTTGCAAGAGCAAGCGAATACCCCYAATATCGGGTTTTGCAGTTGGCGCTGAGAGCGCATAGTTCTAGTTTTATTCGTCGCATCATGCTATACCTTTTAGGAAAGCTCATTTCACGCGCTAACACGTTTTTGATTGATTGTCGTTTCTTTTAAGCCGTTCGTGAGTTATAGCGTCGCAAACATGGATCAAAATAAAAAGAAAATGCGGCATATTTTACAGTACTACTACGATAAAGGCAAAAATACATCTCAGGCCGCCAATAAAATTTGTGCAGCTTATGGACCCGACACAGTTTCCATTTCCACCGCACAACGATGGTTCTAACGTTTTCGTTCTGGTGTAGAAGTGGTCGAAGATGCGCCACGCTCCGGAAGACCTGTCGTCGAAAATTGCGAAAAAATCGTTGAATTGGTCGAAAGAGACCGGCATATTAGCAGCCGTAGCATCGGTCAAGAGTTGAGCATGAGTCATCAAAAAAAAAAAATTATGAACAATTGAAAATTCAATAAAAAAAAAATACCGCAAGACTTTTTTGACAACATATTATCTTATTATGGCTGATGAATTTTGCTACATTAAGACAATCAAATAATTTTTTTTTCAGTGTATGGAATTCATTTTTCTTTTATTCATGTTAAAGCTCATTCAATTTTACTAAATAGAGCTTAATTAGTTTTTAAAATAATGGAATTTAAATGCCCCCCCCTGCTCGTTGATGCATGTGCGGCATCTTACCAAAAAGTTGTTCATTACTGCTTGGAGAGTTGAGACAGGAATATCCGCAATTGTTTCTCGAATGGATTACCTTAGTTCATTCAAATTTGTTGGTTTTGCTTTGTAGGTTTTGTCCTGTTTGCAATAACCCCACAAGAAAAAGTCAGGTGCAGTAAGGTCAGGCGACCTGGGTGGCCAACGAAATGTGGAGTTTCTGGATATCAGCTTATTAGGAAATTTTCGTTGCAGTTCTGTGAGCTATGTGAGGAGCTGCACGATCTTGCTGAAACCACACAGAGTTGAAAGAAATCCTCATGCTGCGTAATTCTGGATAGAAAAACTCTCTCAACATGCTCAAGTAACGGTCTCCAGTAACCGTAATTGTGTGACCGTTTTCTTCGAAGAAGTAGGGCCGACAATGCAGCGTGATGAAACCGCAGACCACACTGTGACACGAAGTGGATGCAATTCCGTCTCATGGAGTATCTGTGGGTTGGAAGCACTCCATATTCGACAATTTTGTTTGTTTATGTTGCCGTTTAAATCGAAATGGGCCTCGTCAGATATGAAAAGACATTTCAACATGTTTCCATCCTCTTCCACCATTTGAAGCAACTTCTGGCAAAATTCCAAGTGAATCGGCAAGTATGCAGCGTTCAGTTTGTTGGCCATTTGAATTTTATATGGGAATAAGTCCAAATCTTTGTGCATAATTGACTGCAATGACTGTCTGCTTACACCCATTTGAGCAGATAAGCTTCTTGTCGAAACACGTGGATTGTTTTGTATGGCAGCAGCTACAGCAACGATTGTTTCCTCCGTTCGAACTGAAGGGTTTCGATGGTAAGGTCTTCTGTTGACTGTCCCATGCTAGGCAAAATTGTTTACAAGTCTCATTATGGTCCATCTGCTCGGAGGATTGCCGCCAAACGTGCGCCTATACTCTCTTTGAACCGAAAAATACGGACTCCAGTGCGTGATAGTGGCGGACAATCCAAATTCTTGTTTCAGTGTCCCAGTTATCCATTTTTGTTAAATGTAAAAATCAATCTGCAAAATAAAAATAAAATTAAACAGATTAATTAAATAGAAAAAAAGTTATTTAATTTTTTTTTTTTGGTAGCGGCTTTCATCAGCCACCCTATTCATATAAGAATTTACCTCTTAAAACGCAAAAATTAAAAAGAAAATTGCGTTTTTCTCTGTTTCAGTTTTTTATTCTTCTTCTTGAATAATTCTGCATCGCCTTTTCTTTTTAACATATAAATACTTCGCAAAGCTTGAATGTCGATAGTAATTATCTTTCTTACTTATGCCTTTTCTCATTCAATTGAACATTGCAGAAAATGTAACGATATTGGTGGAAATGTTTCAATGTGTTTGTGCAATCTGTTACCTCCGTTTTGAAGGGTATGCAAAAGTGAACAATAACAAGTCGCTTACAAGTTCGCTGAAAGATAGCCTTCTGGCAGGGGCTGTACCTGTACGAAAATGTTTGTTTGGAGCTCTTCACTTGTACACGATATAAATGATTCGCATCGATTACAATTTATCGAAACACAGTATAATTATTTATGGTAGTATGGTTTTTCATATTAACACATTGTCAGCACATGTTTTATAGCAACACAGCAATTTCGTAAAAAGTGTGATAGTTTCCTTAAATAAAATGCGTCGTTTGAAAAAGGTCGATACATATGTATTGTTTAGTATAAAACTAATACTTAAGTTAAAGTTATGTTTAAATAATTTTGTAATTTTATTGATAACCATTTAACAGTATCAATCCGGAGAAGCAGCAAAATATATTACACGCCGCGCGGCTTTGCGTAAGTTACAATTATCGTTAAACGATTTTCGCCGCCTGTGTATAATCAAAGGTGTTTATCCACGTGAACCTAAACATCGTAGAAGGGCACAAAAGGGGTCTTCTGATATTAAAATACTTTACCACGCGAAAGATATACGGTTTCTGCTTCATGAACCTATTGTTTGGACACTAAGAGATTACAAGGTTGGTTTAATATTAATTCTTCTGGGTGAATTTTGGAATAGCATCTCTTTGCTTTTGTGAGAACGAAAGTTAAATAATGAATACATTTTATTTTTGCATAATTTAAATATAAGTATATGCCTAAAATTCAAAGCAAACTTTAAGTGGAAATTAAAAACCACTCGTCAGCGACAAATATTCATATATATTTTCAGAATCTGGCGTTCTATATCTGTACATACACATCTTATCCCGAAATCGGGGGATACTATTCTAAATTCCAGCCATTTTTATTGTAATAGTGCCTTTACATTGTATATGTTTTAGATTTTTGCAAAGAAAACGGGGAGAGACCGCGCTGTAAAGGATTTTCGTAATTTAAAGCGGCGCTTGGCTTTATTTCCAGAATTGAGAATAGATCATATTGTAAAGGAACGATATCCAACGTTTGTTGATGCAATTAAAGACCTCGATGATTGCTTAACGTTACTTTTTCTATTCAGCACATTTCCTTCATTACGTTTAATTCCACGGGAGCAATCGTTTCTATGTAGACGACTTACCATAGAATTTTTACATTATATTATCAGTTCGAAATCAATTCGTAATGTTTTCATATCGATTAAAGGATTTTATTTTCAAGCGGATATTAAAGGACAAAAAGTTACATGGATTATGCCACATCATTATCCTTTTAAGCCTCATTCCAAAGCAGAAGTGGATTTTAAAGTTATGTCGATTTTCGTGGAATTTTATACAATAATGCTTGGATTCGTAAATTATCGCCTCTACCATAGTGCAGGATATACTTACCCACCTCAATTTCGTTCAGAAATACATAATGATTCGCAAGATAATTATAAAGACGAATTATCATATGTTTCAGATCGTATTGCGACGCTTAATTCTGATTTGATATCCACCGAAAATGAGTTAGAAGACGAAATTGAGAATATTGACCTAGATTTAGTTGAACAGGGTCAAAGTTCAAATCGTATAATGCTATTGAAAAAGGAAGCAAAGGAACTTACAAAACTACGCTCACTTTTTAAAGGTTTAAAGTTTTATATCAATAGAGAGGTACCCCGAGAACCCATAGTAATATTAATAAGATCGTTTGGAGGCAAAGTTTCTTGGGACTGCACAGCGTTTGTTGGAGCCACTTATAACGAAAGCGATGAAACTATTACTCATCAAATCGTCGACAGAACAATCCTAAGTAAAACATATATATCTCGTGATTATATTCAACCACAGTGGGTCTTCGATTGCGTTAATAAGCGCACACTACTTCCAACGAACAGTTATTTTTTAGGGGCTTTGTTACCACCTCATTTATCCCCATTCGTTGACAGTAACCGAGATTCTTATGTTCCCCCCGAGGAAAATGAAAGCAAAAATGAATCTGATTTCAATCAAAAGAAGTGTAAGGTTTTCACAAATTTTTGTATTACTAATTATTATATATATTTGTAGATATTAAAGTTAATGCTGGGTTTTCATTAACAGCAAAAGAAATAATAGACAGTCAAGCCATGGATGATGATCAATTACAAAAAGCATATATTGAAGAAAGAGCAGATTTTGAGGAGTATGATCACATCGAAAACGAAGAAGAGCAAAATGACGATAATGTTGCTAAAGAGGAAAAGGAAAAACTTCGACACGAAAAAGTAACCGATTATTATATAATTATATTTAATGTTTTAAAATAATTATATTTTAGACGCTGTTCATGAGTGTTCAGGTTGGTAAAATCCATAAAGAAAATAAGAAGATCCGTCGAAAGAATGAAATAGATGAACACCGGTTACAAGCACGCATGGTAAAGTCTCGTCATCGCTCCCTTTTTAGGAAACTAGTACTAGAAAAACAAGTAAAAGAAAAGGAAAAATGGTTGTTGAMAAAGAAACGTCGAAATATAGAAGCACAAAAAATTTAACTAATATAGTTACATATATACATGTTTAATGTACAGGGTGGCGCACTATGGGATAGCACACCATCCCATATTATGTCATGTCAAATTAACAGAAAATTTAAGAATAAAAATATCAAAAATTATATGTGTACAATAAAATTTATTAAATATTAACGAAGGGAAGATAAACCAGTTATAAACCAAAAAGCATGATAGAATAATAAAAAGATCAATATAACGTAAAACATAATATTTAGAAGCAGGGTAAAATTCTGATTTCTTTGACGCCTCGATCTGAAGGTGCCGTTGGAAAGAAAGTTGAAATCCGGTTGGCTTTCTGTCTGTCCGTCCCTCCATGCAAGCTGTAATTTGAGTAAAAATTGAGATATCTCGATTAAACTTGAAATGTGGGTTTTTTAGTAGAAAAAACATCGGCGTAATCGGAACACTGGCACGCCCGCAAGTCGTCATTAACCGAAAACATATAAATGCCATAACTAAGCACTAAATTAATTTATAATGCTGTCATTTGACACAAATTAACTAACAAGTTTAATGTATGTGCATAACTCYTAAACCCCCTAAGCTACAACAACCAAGTTAGCTAATTGCAATTCTTATAAGCATATCTACCGACACACAGTGTTTCCTTTAATACAAGCTAGAGGGACAAAAATATTTTAGTTTGAAATTTAATTATTTTAGTGGTGTTGATTAATGATTTTAAGTTTCATTGAATAAATTAATATATTTTTTTTAGATTTACGAATAGAAAACAAAAAATTGTGTAAAAAATATATTTAATTATTTTTATAAATTTCAGAACATACAATAACATTTACTTGAACGTATAAAATACGTACTAATACATGAGCCCATTAGATAGCAACCCTGTCTCTTATACACATCTAGATGTGTATAAGAGACAGGTCCATTAGGTTTCAACTAATGAAAAACGCGATGATTAGTAAAGGATTTTTTACCAACAGACCTAATAATAACAATAACACACAACAACAAAATGTTTAATACTACTATATCATTACTAATTAAATGACTCATCATCACTGTTAGATTCATCCGAATCAGATACTAGATAATCATTATCGTCATGGTCACATGTCCGTGACGTGATACTTTTGATATTGAAGGCGGGACAATTAAATTTAGAACTTCCACCGGTAATTTATCTGTTCTCTCTCTAGGAAGTGGTGTTCGCGAAATCTACGGCAGTCCTTATTACGGGCCTCTTGAGATTCCTCCGAGAGTTGCAGGATTGGAAGAATACAAGTTATAATTACCTCCGTACTATGTACCAGGATGTTGTGCACGGTGACTTGCATATAGTACCACGAATAAAAATTAAGATAAAGGGTCCTGGTTTTGGAACAAAGATTTTCGAATTTTTTGCAATAAATATCGTAGCCGGAGGATAACGTTCTCAATGAAATGCTAAAATTTTTAATTAGATTAATATCCAATTCGGTAACCTGCCCACTCAGTTCCGGATTCATAAAGAACCTGCGGGCCGTATTTCCATATCCAGGTTTGTATACTATAGGTGTGTATACTATAAGTCCCATCTGGTTTTTAAACTTTTGCCTTACCTCTTCCGAATGCTGTTTTACACTAGCCTTTTCTATATCGCTTTTAGCTTGTCACTTTTTTATGTCCAAACGATAACAAATGTATAACATACATTCAAAGGAACGAATCCAGGCGTGCCAAGTAGACAAACCAAAACTGTAATGCTCGTTTTTAGCCACTAAGTCTTTTAATTCGCCATTCAGCAGTATGGGAGTAGCACCACAGATGTAACCTTTTTGTGAAGAAAGTGTGGCAGTCAAAGCATTACTTTTCCGTCTGCCATTGTAAGTAAAAGATTATGTTTTACCGAAATTTGCGAACCGCGATTATCACAAACTAACTACTAGAAGTTGAGATATTTCTTCCAAAACCTTATTAGTTTCTGATGTAGTAAAATCAATTGTTTCCTTTGAAAAAATAGTCTTAATTGAGCGACAATAGAGTGGAAAGAAGAGAGCGGATTTTGCCATAAAATACTTTGGCTGGCATCGTCACTCAATCTCAATGGAACAATAGCAAAAACAAACAGATACTCATCAGTAGCATCACAGTTCTCAAATTTCTGTTTATAAGCACTATGGCCGGAGCTTCCGTCACATCCCCATTTGCTGATTAGTATGAATTACGACTTAGAAGATATATTATATTTTCTTTGAGAACTTCACTTTGCACTTCAATTAAACGTTTAGCGGTTTTATCCAAAATGGCTTGAAGTGTAATTTCGGCAAGTGTTTCTGTTACCAAGATATGCTCATCTACAGGGTAACACAAATCTTTCAATGACCATTTTCGCGTCTGTTTATACGARTAACTTGTGCACTTAGAATCAACATAATAAGCTAATGCCCAGAGAACGTATAATATAGAGAAGGTTCAGGGTGTGCCGATTGTCATCACGTTCCTCTTTTTGGAGGGGTTGAGTTTTCTATTAGTGGATTTGGCCACAAAAATATTATTAGCGGATTTCACCAATATTTAACATGAGGAAGTCGAAAATAGCAGAATTGAGCATTTTCATTGTTAAATGAGAAAAGTGATGCTAATTTCAATGTACGCTT